GAGGAGGAGGAGGAGGAGGACGAGGACGAGGACGAGGAGGAGAAGAGGAGGAAGAGTTGGGTGTGAGAGGAGAGGAGGAAGGGCATTCCGAGCCGAGGAAGCAGGAAAGCTAGGCATTGTTTGCGTGTGTGGTGACGACAATGAAATTTGTTGTACAGCCCAGCGGGCTCTGCCAGTGTAAAACGTCTTATTCCGCACCGCCCCATTCCTGGCCTCAGTTGTGCAAGCCCCCAGGTGCACGAAAGCCGCTCTTCAGCAGTGCTCTCCACGCACGTCGTGCTGCTTCCACCGAGGGGCCGGGGAGGCGAGCCTCTCCTTCAGCCTCCTGCCTAGACTGAGCAGCAGACACCCCCACCCCTTCCCCTGGAAGCCCACTGTGCTCTTGGGGCCCTGGAGGGGTCGTGGTGCTGTGCGAGGGGATGGGAGGTGCGGAGCAAGAGCCTGACTTGACCATTCAGCTGAGCCCTTGTGGAGGTATTTAGATGTCAACATTTAGATGTCAAGTGGCCTTGGGACAAGTGCCTTCTATTTAGGGCCCAGTGGGTGAGGCCATGATTTGGGGGTGTTTCCAAGGCAATTGGAGGTTTAGAAATGTAAGTGAAAAAAGCCCCACTAACTGTAAACAGGAACTCTAGAGATACCCCCATTTAGGGACAGGGTTAGGCCAGGGCTTAATAAGCAGTGACCACTTCATATTTTTGAATGAACGAAGTTTGGAGAGAGAAAGGAGGGTGGGGGGAGGCATGTCTAAAGGCGGGAGCAATCCTGGAGCAATGCCAGAGGAATTTCTGGCAATACATTATGCACGCTTTCTCACCACTGGCAAGGGATGAAACTCTCAAGTTTTTTCTTTTATTGGGCAAAGACTTCATAGGTGCAAACCTTGGAGATAACCAAGACCTATGCCTTTGGTTATTCAGATTGGTTTCTGACCGCTGACCCAAGTGAATGATTGAAATCTTCAGAACTTACGGCCACTGGAAAGAGATTATGCCAGTGATAGGCGATTTGGTTTGACTATTTATAATCAACCATAAATGACACAAGCTGAGGGTTTGTGACCTTATATGAAAGGAAAAGCCATAACATTCGCTCTGGGATTACCAACAACATTTTTGTTGATGATGTGTTTAACTGATAAATTTTTCATCTGTTCTAGAAGTCTTTCTAAGAAATCTTGCAATGCAACAAATTTGCTAGGGAATTTAGACTGGGTTTAATAAATTAAGACAGTGCACAGTGATTTACACATGCCACATTTTATTTATTTTATTGATACATTTTAGGTAAACATAATGATCACATTCTCCATAGGAAATTTGTACCTTTACAGGAGGTATCTTGATTCTTTTTTTCCTTTCCTTTCCCTCCCCTCCCTTCAGTCCCTCCTCTTATTTAAAAAGCTTTGTTTCCATTTTTTCATTCTTTTCTCATTTTTTTTTCTTTTCCCTTCCTTCCTCCCCTCACCCCTCCCCTAGTTTCCCTTCCCATTTGAACATTTTCTTCCAGTTTCATATTATCTATTGTATATGTTGGTCTTTATTTACACTTCTAGTTTTTCACATCAGAGAAACAATATGGTATTTACACATGTATATTCGATTTATTTTTCTTAAGAGTATGGTCCCAGATGCCTCCATTTACCTAGAAATGTGTCAAGCCTTTCATTCATTATGGAAGAGTAGAACTCCATTGAATAATAATAATAAAAACCCCTATGTCTTCTTTATTCATTTATCAGTTGATGGACATTTGGGCTGTTTCCAAGATTTAGGTATTACAGACTGTGCTGCTGTGAACATGGTGTGCCTAAATCACTGTGGTATGATGGTTTTACTTCTTTTGGGAAGCAAATAGCTGGGTCAAATGGGAACTCTAGTCCTGCTTTTTTGAAGAATCTCTACACTGATTTCCACAGTGGTCACACCAATCTACACTCACACTAAGAGTCGAAAAGAGTTCCTTTTCCTCTACAGCCCCACCAGTACTTGTTATTAGTTGACTTCTTGATGACAACAGTAGTTTCTGGGGTGAGATGGAATCTTAGTGTTGTTTTAGTTTACATATCTTGGATTACTAATGATTCTGAACATTTTAAAATATATTTACTTGCCATTTTTACTTCTTCCCCTGACGAGTGTCCCTTTACTTCAGGTGGTCATTTTTAGATTAAGTCCTTAAGTTTGGGGTATCTGACTTTTTTTTTTCTGTTAGTTCTTTGTATATTCTAGAATGTCATCTTTTGTCTGAGAAACAGAAATTTCTTTTCCCACAATGTGGGTTGTCTCTTCATTCTTTGGTGATTTCTCTTGCTGTGCAAAAGGTTTTTAGTAAGATGAAATCCCAGTTGTTGAGTCTTTGTGACAGTTCCCATGTGACTGGGGTTGTTCATAAAGCCTTTGCCTGCATCAATGTCTTTAAGAGTTTTAGCTATTCTATCTTGCAGCAGATTTAATGTTTCTGCTTAAATATTCAGATTTTTGATCCATTTTGATTTTAGTATAGTGCATGGTGAAAGATATGGGTGTAATTTCAATTTTGGGCGTATAGAAAGCCATTTTTTCCAGCACCACTTATTAAAGAGGCTATCTTTTGTTCAGTAAAGGTGTTTGAATCCTTTGTCAAAGATAAGGTGGCTAATTATGTCTCACAGATAACGTTTTAACATTGGGTTTCAATTCATACAGAACTTTCCTAGGAGCTGGGGAGAGGAGTTCCAGATTATGTCATTGGGAAAGGAATTCCCACGGATTCAGGCCTGGTTTGCCCAGTGGTCAGCTGTGTGACCTTGGGAACATGACTTACCCATGTGAGCCTTGATTTTCATCTCTGTAGGATAAATTAGAGGATTTAGAACTGTGTTCCTGTTCTAAAATTAATTAATGATTGCCTTACTTTTCTCATTTCCGAGACAAAGTACATGATGCCCAAAGGTAAAGGAGGAGAGATTTATTTAGTTCTCAGCTTGTGGAGGTTTCAGTCCATAATTGGCTGGCTCCAGGGGAGGGTGGCACATGGCAGAGGGCAACAGTTCATAGCAGTGGAAGACAGCAAAAGTAATAAGAGGTGAAACAAGCCTCTTTCTGCCCCTTTTATCTTACCTAGATTGCAGGGATTAGGGTGATACCAATTCAATCAGTGCACTGATCTGTCAATCACTTAACCTTAATCCCAGAACCCTGGCTCCCAGCCTTGAAGTATAAATCAACTACAAACTCTAGATTGAGCTGCCCCTGAAAAAGTTCTATCAAGTGTTTGAGGCTTTGGGGGGACATATAGACAAAAACCATGACGATGTTTGGACAACTCTTTGAATATACTTAAAATCTCTGGTTTGTACATGTCAATAGGGTGAATTGTATGACGTGTGAATTATATCTCAATAACATGCACATGTGTGTATGTGTGTATCTGTCCCAGTCCTGAAATTATTATGTATTCACTAAAGATAATAAAGTGAATCTTTTACAGGTAAGAGAATTAGGACCATAGCAAACTGAGATCGTTTTTCTCAATAACAGACAAGCTAAAATTACTTACAACCTCCTGGTTAACTGATACCTTACCTGTCTTTGACAAAAAGATATCCTTACTTTACATGGAGTGAACTGTAAAATGTAAATTATGTATCATTTTCGCTGAAGATGGAGCCCAACAGGACAGAGGGTATATAAACTATGAGAAGAGTCGCTAGCAAAATTAAGTCAGTGCTTTGCTTCAGCATGTGAAACTAGGACCTTGAGATCGTAATTACTTTACTATTATCAATAAATACAAGTAGCTAAGGGAGGCACTGTGGTTGCTTATTATTGGTCAGAACCTGACCAATAAAACATGGCTCACAATAATTACATTACTGCTATATTACTCAGTGATTTGTGTTTGTTATAGGTACTTCCTGGTCATTTTTCTTGACAGTGGGTATTGTTGGTGAAGGAGACCAGACCACACTGGTGGACACCCTGACCTACACACCGTACTAACACTCACCCTTACAGGACCATCTTGCCTTCTAAGGATTTATTCTGCATCCCCATAAAAGGTTAAGGATCCATGTCATCTCTTCTCTCCTGAGACTCACCATCTCTCATGGCATCTTTGTGGACTTCATGTTAAATTTCTTTTTGCCCTTACATGGTAATCCCCTTTAACCTTTTTGATTATTTAGCAATCCCTTTCAACTTGGACAACACAGTAGTGATGAAGAACCTTTAACATAGGTTTTTGGTAATTTCCCCCCCTCACAGCTTCTTAAAGCATTAAACAGAAAAAATGGTTAAGTGGTTATAAGGAGCTAGGTCATATTCCCTGAGCCACGGCCCAAGCTGACCATTGATGGGTAAGTGCTTCAGAGAAGGTTGCTCTTTGAAACTATGAAATTCTCTAGGGAGACAATAAG